CAGCCTGGGGGTGGCGTGGGCTGTGCGGTGGCCGTGGGGAGCAGGGCCAGCAGCACGGCCGTGGTGCCCATCCTGCACCGTGGCATCCAGGGACCCTGCGGGACACAGCGGGGTCAGGGCACAGGCACTGGGGATGGGGATCAGCTCCCACCTCGCAGCATCCCTGCCCATGCTCCCCACTGGGCATCGCATGGGGAGCAGCAGGGTCCTGGGCAGCTCCGGATGGCACCAGGCAGCCACGCGTCCCCCACTGGCTCCTTGCCTGGAGGTTGGTGGCAGCTGGGGAAGGGCTCAGCCCCTCTGTGCCCCATTTGATCCCTCCCAACATGGGAATTCTCTGGGGCTGTCCTGATCCCTTCCCCCAGTGTCAGGAGCAGCACTGTGCCTGACGCTTTCCGGGAACACCAAACGTGGGTGCAGACCAGATGGCAGAGGTGATGCCGGGGGACAGGGCTGTCCCCTTGCCTTGTCCCTGCGTGCCACCACGTTCCTCTTTCCACTTCTCCCGTCCCACTTCCCTCTGGCTTTGGGCACTGGCCCAGTGCAGGTCGCATGTCCAGCCTGCTGGCACGTAGGCAGCTGCAGCCTGGCACGGCACGGCATGGCACGGCACGGCACAGAGTCCCAGTCCCTGTCCCCCCCATTCCTGCCACCCCACGGTGGGCACGGGGAAGAGGAAGCAGTGAGGAAACTGCAGCCCCACTGCTGGTGGAGGAAACCGGGAGGAGACCCCAGCAAGGACATGCCGGGGCCGGGCACCCCGAACCGGGCACCCCCCGGGATGAGGACAGGGACCCCCAGCACCAGGCTGGGACTGAGTCCCTGTGCCCGCGGGTTCCCAGAGCTCCGCCGCCTCCGGTTTCCCACCGCGTCCTCCAGCCCGGTACCCCCGCCCGGTTTCCCCGCGCCCCCGGCGGCTGCACCCGCGTCCCCAGTTCTGCTCCTCCTGCAACCCCGCCCGGTCCCTCGCATTGCCCGTTGGCTTCCCCCGCTCACCCGGCCCGGTCCCGCCGCACTCCCGTCCCGCCGGTTCCCCCCGCCCGCTTCTCCCATCCCGCACCCCCATCCCGCTCCGTCCCGGTGCTTCCCGCCGCTGCCGCCAGGTCCTGGCCCCGAAACTCCGCCGGAGCCGCCCCCAACCCTCCGGCCGGAGGAGCTGCGGGGGCGGACGGCTCTCGGTCCCGGTTCCTTCCCGTCGGTGCTGCCGGTGCCCCCCAGCCCCGCAGGGCTCGCCCCCCGCCCCCCCCGGCCCGCTCACCGGCCGCAGCCCCCGGTGCCCGGCGCTCCGCTCCCCCCGTGCCGAGCCGAGCCAGCCCCGGTGCCGCCGCTCCGCGCGCCTGCCCGGCCCGGCCCCTCCCCGAGGTGCGGCTCAGCCCCGGGAGCGCGATCGGGGCCGGCCGGGACCTGCCCCGCCGCACCGGGCGGGGGCACCGGGGTCCCGCACCGGCGGAGGAGCCGCAGCGGGGCACGGAGGGGGCTGGAGGGGGGGAAGAGCCCGCGGTGGGCGGGAACAGGGGGGAACCCACCTGGTCATGGGTGTGATGAGTCAGTGCGGCCTCAGCCATCAGGGTGATGGGTTTGGGGGGGCTCAGCCTGGCTCTGCCGAGCGCTGCTCCCCTGGAAACACTCAGGGGACAAGGGACGGGGCCGGGGCGCTGCCCCGGGGCACGGACGGGGCTGACGGGGGAACGGCCTAGGCTGGGGGTGAAGCAGGGGGGAGCCCACCTGGCCATGGATGTGATGAGTTTGGGGGTCTCAGCCTGGCCCTGCTGAGCCCTGCACGTCAGGAAAGACCCTCAGGGGACAAGGGAAGGAGCAGCGGGGTCTGCATCACCCACATGGGATCTTCCACCTGCGGTGGGCTCTGGGGTGGGAGCCGGGAGTGGCGCTCCGTAGGCGGCCCCACCGTGTAAGGATACACCGGCCCGGAGGGGCCTCCCGGAGGAATGTCAGCTGATGGATAAAGCTGGAGCCCTTGGCAGGGCAGCAGGACCCAGAAAACCCCAGAAAAAACCCAGAAAAGCCCTTTCTGCAGAGGGCTGGGGACCAGGGAAGTGTGTTTTGGTGGTCCCTGTCCCGACGGGGCTGGCCGTGACTCTGGGGTCAGGATGGGCACTCCACAATCACCCCATTCATCCCTGGGGATGGGGAAAAGCCCTGGGAGATTTGGGGCACCCTGGAGGCCCTGCCAGTCCTGGGAGAGTTTTCCAGGCAGGCGCTGCTATTTCGGGAGGGTGAAGCAAGAGGGTGAAGGATGCAGAGGAAAGTTCAATGTGCCTCCGGCGGGGCCTGCCCCAGTCCAGGCCGGGATGAAAACAACCCGGGGAGAAAGGACAACAGAGCCTCAGTGGGAGCACCGGCGGCACCCGTGGCACCGGGACCGGCGCCCTCCGGAGCCCCGGGGACAGGACGGTGTGTCCAGGCTCAGAGCTGCGCCACCGCCGCCCTCCCGCCCTCTTCCTAAGGATCGTTTGGCTTCGGGATGATGTTTGGGTTCGGATCATCCCTGCCCTCGCACGGGGCAGGGCAGCGCAGGCCAGGGGCTCTGCAGCGGCCCTCGTGCCTCAGTTTCCCCAGGGATTTGGAGCGCAGGCTCCAGGATTGGACAGCCCTCGCTCTCCGGGAAAGGCTCAGCCTTGGGGATAAGCGGTGCCGGGAGCGGAGGCCGCTTGTCCTGCCGCCCCCACAGCGCAGCCTGGCCTCTCCACCGGCTGCTTCCTTCCGCCGGAGGCTTTCCCGGCTGCTGATTCAGCACGAGACCCCCGTGACCCCCCGTGGGGCCACCGGCAGGCGCCCGTCCCGCCGAGGCTGCCCGGTGGCCGCACAGCGTTTGCCTCTCTTGTCCCCCTCCTTGGCGGGTGATTTCCTCATCCCCTTCCCATGGGAACCCCCCCATCCCCTCACGGCGGGCGATTTCAGCCCCCTCCCCACGGAGACCCTCATGTCCCGGCCCCTGCGGGCGTTTTCCGCTCCCCCTTCCCATCGGGACCCTGCCCGCGTTGCCAGCCCCCATTGCTTGCTCCCGGCGTTTTTATAGGTCCAATAGAAAGACCCCAACAGGCTGTGGGGTCACTGGGGGGGCGATGCCCATCATGTGCTGCCCTCGGCTTCCTCTCGGGGCGGTGGATCCCTGGTCCTGAGCTCCCGGCACGGGCAGAGCCCGATCCTGATTCCCAGTGCTCTGGGTGGGCTTGGAACCGCGACCCGGCGGTGGAACTGGGCAGACCTGGTCCTTCCAGCACAGAGGCCACGCTGAGGGGCTGGCATGTCGCTCAGCACCGGGACCTGGACCCTGGCCAGGCTCTATCCGAAAACATCAGCACGCCGGGCGCATTTTTTCCAGGCTTACCTTTCCTCGGGAGCCGCAGGGACGGGCGGCTGGCACGGCTGGCACGGTGGCACGGCTGGCTGAACCCCGTCACAGCGGCGGCTCCCCTCGGCTCCCCTCCAGAGCCGGGGGTCGCTGCTGCCCTCCCAGAGCCTCCCGCCGCTCCGGCCGGGGCTCGGAGCCGTTCCCAGCGGAGCCCCCTCGCTCCGGCGGACGCCGTCAGCACATTTCCACCTCCTTTGCCAAGTAAATACGCACCGGTTGGCACAGGGGGCGCGGTGGCAATCGGGGGGGCCGGTGGCAATCCCGGAGCTCCCGCCGAGGGTTCCCGAGGCAGCCGAGCCCCCCGCCCCGCGGCCCCTCAGCCCCTGCCCGCGGTCGGGTTAATAACTAATCCCTTCCCGGTTCTGCTCTCCTCACGTGCCAGAATTAATGGAGCGAGAACCTCCCAGGTACCCCCCGCGCCACCGGGTCGGGCTTTAACCCTGTCCCCCGGTAGGGATCCGGCCTGGGATGAGGTGACATCCCCGGCGGGTCTGTCCACGCCGGAGAATGACCCGGCTGCGGGGCAGGGTGGGTCCGTGAGTGGGTCAGCCCCACACCCTGGGGGCAAAGGCTGCGCCCCGTCCCACCCCAGTGCGGGCACAGCCAGGGCTCGGGGGTGGGCAGGGGGTCTGATGGGGTTTGGGGGGTGTCTCTGTGCCCTGCCACGAGCCAGCTGAGGCCCTGCCCCCCCTCCGGGCACCCCCTGGTCTGTCCTGCCCCGTCTCGGGAATCCGAGAGGAAAGGCTGGACGGTTTTGGGGGATTACGCTAAGGACCTTACAGAGAATTAGGGTGGCGGCAGGGCGGGTTTGGGGGGCTGGAGGATGCCAGCTCCCTGCCCCGGCAGTGCCAGCTCCGCAGTGTCCCGTCCCTGCCCTCTGCTGGCAGCTGGGGACAGGCTGGCACGGCACGGCCGCTCCTCCAGCGTCACACCAGTCTGGCACTGGTGCAACTGGGAGGGCAGTGCTGGGTGCACCCGATGCTGGGGGGCATTGGTCGGGGGGCTGCAGCTTGGCTGCTGCCAGGGGGATTAATGGGAGGGAGCCAGGAGCTGTGATCTTACCAGACCCCACTAGTGGGGACAGCAGACCCTGTGGGTGCTCCCTGCAGCACTCCCGGGGGTGGGCAGGGGGCACGGGGGTGGGGCAGGGCAGGGGCACCCTGTGCCAAAGACGCTGGTGCAGGGTGCCTCTGTTCCAGCTGCCCGCGGGGAGCCAGACCCAGGCAGAATTTTGGTCTCAGCACTGCAGTTTATGGAGTGGCACCCAGTGGGCACCACGTCCCTGTCAGGGCTCACAGGAGCTCACTTGTGCCCCCCACCCCTCACCAGGGGCAGCCCCTGGGCTCCCCAGGACCCTTGGTGCCACTGAGCTGGGCATGTCCTGGGTGAGTTCCCTGGGTGAGTTCCAATTTTGCGTGAGGGGCTGAGCATGGGCAGGGCTGAGCTGCCCATCCTGGGGTGCTGCTGCCAGGCAGGCACCACGATATCCTCAAAGCAGCGTCTGGGCACAACCACCTCCTCCTGCCGCCACCAGCAGCAGCAGCAGCGTTAACCCTGGCTCCGTGGAGGGTGGGGTCTCCCTGGCTGCCGGTGCAATGCGTGGGGCTGGGTGGGCACCGGGCCCGGCTCAGAGCGCGGTGCTGCCCAGCAGCTTCAGCGGTTTCAGGGCTGGGGGAGGGAAGTGACCACTGCCACGGCGGGTGTCCTGCCGGGGCTGTCCCCGCAGCACCTCGCCCACCGTGCGGCGGAAGGTCTGGCTGACGAAGCAGTAGAGGAAGAAGTTGAGGGAGGTGTTGAGCATGGCCACCATGTTGGCGATGTCCAAGGCCAGGTGCACGCGCCAGTCCCTCCTGACCGAGGCCACGTAGAGGTGGCACATCATGACGATGGTCCGGGGAGCCCAGAGCACGACGAAGACGGTGGTGACGGCCAGCAGAAGGGCCGTGGTCTTGCCGCCCCCTGCGCGCCTCCGCCGCTTCAGCTTGCGGATGATGACGGAGTTGGTGGCCAGGAAGATGCTGCAGGGCAGGAAGTAGATGGTGACGCAGTGCAGCCACTTGAGCGCCGTGTCCAGCGCCGTGGGGGGGTCGGCGTCACGCCACATGTCCAGCCACCAGTAGAAGGGGATGCCGGTGGCCAGGGCCACGGCGAAGACGGCCGCGATGATCTTGCGGGTGCGCCGCGGGTAGGACACAGTGCGGTAGCGCAGAGGGTGGCACAGGGCCACGTAGCGGTCCACGGTCAGCAGGACGGTGACCCAGGTGGACGCGTGGTTGGCCGTGAACTCCAGCACGTTGACGGTATGGATGAAGGCGCTGGGCACCGCCCGTGCCAGGATGGCTGTCTGCAGGATGAAGCCCACGAAGATGATGAAGATCTGGGTGAGGATGTCGGAGGTGGTCAGGGCCAGCAGGTACCAGTAGGACGATTTCTTGGTCCTGGTGGCCAGGCGGGACAGGGCCACGGCAGTCAGGATGTTCACTGCAGGGAGGGAGCGATGGGTGGAGGTGAGAGCTGGGGGCTCACAGCCCCACCCTGCAGCTCCTGGGGCTGCCCCGGCTCCAGCTCAGGGGAGCTATAAATATCCCGGTGCTGTGGGGATTTGCTGGGCTGATTAATCTCTTCCGTGTGCCAGCCCAAGCAATGCAAATACCATCTGTCCCCGTGACGGTGGCACCTGCCCTGGGGCCGGGCAGCACAGCCGGGCACTGGGGCAGGTCTGAGGCTGGGGGGGAGCAGGTAAAGTCCCTCCATCCTGAGGGCTTTTCTTTCCAGCCCCTCAGCCACCTCAGCCCCCTCACCTGGCAGCCCCAGCCCCAGCAGGACGCTGTAATACACGACGGGGATGATGCCGACCAGGCAGGGTGACCTCTCCAGCTCCGTCTCCGGCCGTGCCCACGGCACCGCCGAGCTGTTGGGCATGGGGACCGTCATCTTCCACCAGGGATCGGCTGTGAGGAGAGACAGGGAGCATCAGGGGGATGAGGGTCCTGAGGGCACCTGGGCGTGAGTTCAGCATGACATGCCACAGGGGGCTTGAGAACAGGGACCATCACCTGGGCATCCCCACTTTGGCTGGACCCCAGTTCCCTTGTCCTGCAGCATCCATAGACAGTGGGCAGCTCCAAAATGTGCCACCGCAGGCAGACCTGGGGCTGCTGCACCCACGGGAGACAGTGCACCCCAAACCCCCTGTGCCATGTCCCAGCAGAGCCCCCTCTGCCAGAGCTGCTCCTCCTTTAGCCCTCAGCCCCGCTTCTGTAGAAAACCGGATTAAAACACCATGTTCTTGGGCAGCTGCCAGCAGAGGGAGGCTCTGGCCCCCAGCCCGGGCTGGGTGCCACCAGACGGCTCCCAGTGGTGGCAGAGAGGACCCAGAGGTGCCGATGGGAGGTCCCAGTGGTGCCAAATGCGGGGTGGCCATCTCCAGGCCACTAAGTGGGTCCTTTCCCAGTTCCTCAGGCTGAGGCAGCGGAGCTGGAGGAGCCTGGGAGCGGCCCTGCCCCACGGCCCTGCCCGCATCCACGCCCGTATCCGGATCCTTATCCGGATCCGCATCCTATCACTGCCCTGATTCCTGCCCCATCCCTGCCCTGATCCGTGTCCCGTCCCTGTCCCATCCCTGCCCCATCCCTGTCCTGATCCCTGCCCTGATCCCTGCCTGATCCCTGCCCTGATTCCTGCCCCATCCCTGTCCCATCCCTGTCCCATCCCTGCCCCATCCCTGCCCTGATCCCTGTCCCATCCCTGTCCCATCCCTGTCCCATCCCTGTCCCATCCCTGTCCCATCCCTGTCCTGATCCCTGTCCCATCCCTCTCCCATCCCTGTCCCATCCCTGCCCTGATCCCTGTCCCATCCCTGTCCCATCCCTGTCCCATCCCTGTCCCATCCCTGTCCCATCCCTGTCCCATCCCTGTCCCATCCCTGTCCCATCCCTGTCCCATCCCTGTCCCATCCCTGTCCTGATCCCTGTCCCATCCCTCTCCCATCCCTGTCCCATCTCTGTCCCATCCCTGTCCCATCCCTGTCCCATCCCTGTCCCATCCCTCTGCCCACTCCCTACGCCCGGATCGTGCCCACGCTGCCCTCGCTCATTCATAAACCATGAGTGCTCCACCCCCTTCCCCGTCTCTGCGCTCCTATTGGCTCAGGGGTTCCAGCTCCAGCCAATCGGAGCGGGGCTCCGCGGGAGGGGTGCGGCCAGAGCAGAGCGCCGCGTTCTGATTGGTTGCAATCCCCCCCAAATTTACATCCCTGGGGGGACCTCCAGACCCGGCGCCGGGTGGGAAATGAGGGGAGGTCCTGGGACCGGGGCTGTGGGGTCCGGGGTGGTCCGGGGGTTGTGGGGTGCGGGAGGTCCTGGGACCGGGGCTGTGGGGTCCGGGG